AGGGCGGCTAGGATCTGGAACCAACTTCCAAGAGAAGTGGTGCTGGCTCCTCCCCTGGGGGTCTTTAAGAGGAGGCTAGATGAACACTTTGCTGGGGTCGTTTGACCCCAGTGCTCTTTCCTGCCATGGCAGGGGGTTGGACTTGATGATCTGTCAAAGTCCCTTCCGACCCTACAAACTATGAAACTATGAAACAATACTCTTATCCTGCAGTGCATCGTTGACTAGACTCCTAAGAGCACTGAAGTTAGCCTTCCTAAAGTCAAGCACTTCCACCCTACTAGTTATCTTATCCACCCTACGCCATATGGTGAATTCAGTTGATTGGTGGTCACTGTCCCCAAGGTGACTGCGAATCTGAAGCTCCCCTACCAGGTCCTCCCCTGTAGCCAACACCAAGTCCAGTAAGGCATCCCCCCTAGTGGGACCGTATACCTCCTGCATTAGGTGAAGGTCCTGCATGCAGGTTAAGAACCTATGTGAATGGTTGGATTTGGCTGACTTCTCCTCCCAGCAGATGTCAGGGTAGTTTAGGTCCCCCATGACAACCACATCCCTAGACTGTACAGCGTCTGAGAGCTGCCTCAAGAATTCCAGGTCTAGCTTTTCCTCTTGGAGTGGTGGTCTGTAGCAGTATTTTTGCCTGCTTTCAAACTTACATTGCAGGTTTAAATACTGAACAATATCACATTTCGTTCTCTGGTCATTTTTTTCAAGGCTTTGTTTCTGTGGTTCCGTGATGTAACCTATTCACATATTAGCTGAGATTATGGATAACAGTATAGCTGCACTGGGCCACATGGATGTCAGATTCTGGCAGCAAATTACATGATCAGCCATGAAAGGATCACTTTGCTATAGAGGAGTCTCCAATAAAACTTACATAGCAGGTTCTGTACCATCTCTGTTCCAGTTACTAATATAGGAAATGTCTAGGGCAAAGAGGGAATTATTAAGGCTTCCCTATAATCCACAGAGCCCTGCCTGCCAGATTGGCCTTTAAGGCTATGTACAGACGCCATGTAGCCTTAATGTGGCTGTAAGTTATGATAGGGAACCAGCTTGAGACAAACCAGCCCTGAATCTGATAAATGCAAAAGCTACTTCTTGCACTCCCTCCTGAGCTGCATCAAGGTTCTGGATCACTGTGATGATTGTTTTCTCTTGGTTGAAAGCATGATGTATAGGAAGTTTTAAACCAATAATAATCCAATATCTATATTTTATTTATAGCCAATGGGGGAAAATAGCTATTTTTCCTATTTTAATATGCTCTGTAGACTTAATTTAAAATCAGAAGGTAAAAAAGAATCTGTGATACCATCAAAAGAAAACATACTTATCCAGTGAAGTATTCTCACTAGGAAGGTCATGGAACCTCTCCTGGTTACATTTTTACTTAGATGTCAACAATAGTTTTGCCATAAAGGATCTTTCAGAGGAAAATATTGAAATGCAATTATGGCATTAACTTTATCCTAAAACCTTCTGGGAAGGAATTCCCAGGGGTATTTTTTTAATAAGAGAGCTGTGTGTTATTGTGTGACGTGATTCTTTCTTATACCCTTCATGCTTTTTTTAATGAGTTTTGTGCTAGTGAAGGTATCAGGTTCTTTTCTTTATTCATGGACAGGCACAGCACAATCAACAATATTGTAAGTTTCCCCTGCATTGTCTAGTCAACCAAAACGAGAGGCAAAGAATTAGGTTTTTAACAAATATTTAAAAAATTAGAACATGACACTAGTCAGTGATCCCAACCACCTAGGCATTCTTAGTTGTTGCTGACTGTAGGACAACATTTGGGGAAGGGATTTGGAAAATGAAAGGGAAGTGCTTTTATAGATCAGTTTTTGGAAAGGCATTAACTGCATCAGGACAGCATGAAACAAAGTTACAAGGGTTTCTGGGTACAGACAAACTGAGGATAGAGGTTGGTAGAAACAAAATGCAGCAGATTAGTTTCAACACACGTCAGCACCATCTCATTGGGCACATGAGATGTTTACTGTGCAGTAGACTAATTAGTTGTGCAGTAAATGTCCCATGTCTACACATGTGCCCTGTGGTTCAGTGGTAGAATCTTTGTCTGCTACACAGGAGACCAGGGTTCAAGTCTCAGATGTTTATACAAACACAGCCATGGGGGCACCAAATATCTGGACTTAGCCTGACCTTTGGATTCTGTCTCAGTGCCCTAAGGGGGGGATGGGAAGTATGAGCAACCTCCACTCCTCCAAAACTTCTGCCTAGGTATATGCATCAATAGTCTGGGTGACCCCTCATACATACACCATGATCCAGTAAGATCAACGGTTGCCCAGAAAATAAATGAAAACGTGTGTGCCCCTATTAGGCTGAAGTAAACTAATTTACTCTGCAGCAGGATAATACAGGCAGTCCTCGACTTACAATGTTTTGCACTTACGACGTTTATAAATTGACATCCTGTTTCAACTTTATGACATCAGTTTTGACTTTACAACACTTGATCCAATGCAACACCACGCCATGCCAGCGAGCAAGTTCACTGCATTGCTCATCTCCCTGGAGAACATCTGTCCAAACTTCCTTTGTCACTTTCTTTAAGAAAGCAGACAAGACTCCAGAAAAACCTACAGCCAAGACTCCTGAGAAGACTCTAGCCAAGAACCCTCCAAAGAGTCCAACCAAGAGCCCTTCAAAAAATCCAGCAGTCACCTCAAAGAAGTCCTTCCAAATTAATATGATTGCTATTTACAATATAAATACATTAATGTAGCTATATTACTCATCTGTAATTGATTAAGTACAAGATTCTAGGGTATTTTTGGTGAAAATGGGGTATCGGACCTTGGTTCAGGAACCAATCCCCCATTTATAACATTGTTTCTTATGAGAAAATTGTTTCTGAGTTACAACATTTCGACTTAAGATGCAGTTTTCAGGAACCAGTTGTGTCGTAAGTCCGAGGCCTGCCTGTACCTGTAAATACAAGTACTATCCTTCCTTCTGCAGAGTAAAAAAACTGCAACAGTGCACGTGTACACACTGCCCTGGCTGGCTGAGGCATGAACGTGTTTCACGATTGGGGCTGCCTCTGGTTATCCCTGCACTGAAGCACCCTCATGCCTCAGCCAGCCCCTCCACAGCATGTACCTTGTCTTATTCTTGTTCAAAAAGATGCTCTTATTCCCCTTTTCTCTTCATGTAATATGGACTGTGTTACTGGATAACTGTGTGTTGTTTTCCTTTTTGCAGCTACCTGCATAAGAACAAATACCTGAAAGTTATTGATGAAGATGCATTTTTGGGTGTGCACAGTGGACCAACCCTGCTGTGAGTAGGAAAAAAAGGAGGAACAGTTTTAAAAAATAATTATGATTAGGCCTCTTGATTAGGCCTCCTAACGATTATCGGTAAAAAATAAGGGAAGGCGTAATGGTTGACTTGCACACTAATGTCAGTGAAAAAGGTTTTGCTGTGGAGCTTTTTGACCTAAGATAAATGTGTGCTACAAGAGACTTGGGACTGGGTTTCATTCTCAGTAATGCCAGCTCTCATGAAAAAATCACAAGGCAGATTGAAGCCCCCATGGTGAGGGAGGGAGTGGGGCAGTGGCTGGGGTGAATGGGGCCTCAGGGCTGGGGCAAGTCATGCAACAGAGCTGTGGGTGGCTGTTTGTCTGTGTGTGTATCTGTGTGTCTGCCCCTCACTCCCAAGCCACAGCCCCCCAGCCCTGCTGCTGCCCCTCACTCCTGACTCACAGTACCTCACATCCTGCCAGTGTGTGTGCCCCCCCGGGCTCCAACCCACACACACACACCTACAGCCCCCCACACCTTCACAAATAACGTACACATACACTTGAAAAATAGCATATCATGATTTACATTCCAAATCTCTTGATTTTTAAGAGTTTGTCTCATGATTTTTGACATGGTGGGGTTGGCAATACTGGATTCTCAGTCTTTTGCTTCTTGGGTTTAGAGCCTACTGTTCAAAGATTCCTTTGACTAATTAAAGATGACTTGTTAAAGGGAAAATATGTTTGTGTTTTTATTTAAAAAATGAGTTTTTGCAGCTTTTTAATGGTTAAAGGAGGCCTGAAAGAAGTTTTAGAGAAGGTTTGCATTTTATAGTAGAAGTTCAGATTATTTCTCCTCTTTATTCCTAAAGACTATGGGTGAGTGGGGTTATAGCAGAAGTACCAACGACATGAAAATTGGGATGGAAAGACATTTTAGTTAAATGGCTAAAAGTTATTTTTTTCCTGATTATTTTTGTTACCTTCTATTTAACTTGGTCTCCATTCAGCTATTTTTTGAGTCCTTCATAGAAATCACTAAAATTAGGGAAGAGAATGTTTGATATTCCTGCTTTTAAATTTTAAAAAAATTAAAATGTTTGAGACACGCCTGTAAGGTTTGTATATATGCAAAAGGGAACAAACCTGGTTCTTTCTCTTTCCCCTTCCCCCAGTGCCCCTCCCCCCCCAAATAATAATAATAATAATAATAGCTTGGCTTTTTGGAAAGGGATTGTTAGACTCAAAAGCCTGTCCAACCAATCTTTAATGTAAAAGATGAAATCCATCATGTGGAAAATGGAGGTGTTGGGAAGTGTGGGGTCAAACTGAAGTGCAGAATAACACAGCAAATGAGACAGTCCTCTAGCTTTTGATATGCCTTCATAAGATTCTGAAATTCCTTCCTCGACGCAGAGCAGCTGACTTGCAATGGTGAGGCTATGAAGTGTTGCTATGCTGCTCACCCTAAATGAAGTTGCCAGCTTCATGCTCTGTTCTGCAAGGCACCCTGGGTGCATCTACATGTGCAGTTAGTTTATTTCTCCTTGGCACAGTGTATAGATGTGTGCCCAGGACCGCAGCACATTGAGCCAGGGCGGAGCAGCCCCAGGCTGGCAGGGGGCCGAGGGGTCAGTCTGTCAGCCCAGGACTGCTCTGCCCTGGCTCAGCATGCTACGTAGGGGCTGGCTGAGGCACGAGGGTGCTACAGTGTAGAACTAGCCGTCAGGCAGCCCCGCACCGTAGCACCCAGCCAGCCCCAGTCACCATCTACACGTGCACTTTGGCACATGTAAGTACTCTGCTGTAGGATAGTAGTTGTCCTGGATAGTAGTATCCTACAGCAGAGTTAATTACTTTACTGTGCCCTAATACAGGCACACATATAGACAGTGACACTTTGCTGTGGAGCTAATGAGTCAGTTCTGCAGTAAAGTGCATGTGTGGATTTACTCCCTATGGGTACGTCTACATGTGTCACTATGGCAACATTGTTACTGTACTGTAATGCTATTACAGAAACTGTGAGAATCCAGGTAATGGAAGTTGCAGGAGATGTGATTATCCTCTCAGAATCTAACTGATCTCACAAAATCAGATTGCATAGAAGCAAGAGTCCCTGCCTGCTTAACTGTAAAGGTGTTGACCTATGCAGTTTCAAATCAAGCCTAGATCCTGTATCTGAGAGTTTCTTGCTTGTGGCCATCAGTTCAATGAGTAAGATAGAACCTAAACAGAAAAAAAGCCAGAGTAAAGAATAAATACTACTACTTTTAATATTTAGTTCTTTATTTCTGGCATGCACTTTGAGTTTCAGTTGAATCAGCCAGCTATTCATCTCCATTAGAAGCTCTGTGTGTCCTTAGTTCACAACAATAAAAGTCCTAATTGGAGACAGATGTGATTCCAACAGGCATTACACAGAGAGGAACTGCTTTGCAGAAGAACCCTAATAAATTATCATAAATTTGATCACTCTGTGAGATAAATTTATGATGATAAACAAAAGCTGTATATTCATGACCAGATCCTTGGCTTAAAAAGTGACAGTAATTTATTTGTTGTGATCCCTAGAGTTACCGGTGTTGCACAGACTAACAACTTTTGAGGAATGTAGTGTGTGCTGTCAAGTTTCAATTCGTCCGTAACTTCAGGGACTTCTGTTACTCTTAGACCATTAGGAATAATATCACAGTGTGCTGCATTAGGAGTTCTTTTTATAAAAGATTTATTTTCAACAATAATTTAGAACAAAATCCTCCTATTATGGGTTTCTCCCTGTTGTCTGGACTAGCCATACAGTAAATATTTCCACTTATGCACTACTTTGATTTGGCCCTAAGGGATTATCCACTGTAATTAACAAAATTTTTCTTTGCACAGTTTTGATGTGAGACAACTTGCTTGAAAGCTCAGGCAGGAAGCTTGAGGCTTTTCTTAGCCCTGCAGGTCTCCCAGGCAATGACTCAGTTTCCCTGTTTGTTAAATGGGGATAATTAGCATGTATAAAACACCATGAGATTCCTAGAGAAAGGCATGGTCGAAATGCCTGCTACTTTTCTTATTTTTAGTAGATGGAATAAAATAAATGAAAGGAAGGAATTCAGTATTTTCCCTGGTATATTTATGTTAAGATGACATTCACCCACATTTGTAATATTAAGTCACAAGTTTTTTTCAGAGATAAGCGAAGTTGAGACTATGCTTCTCTGGGTGAAGGAAACAGAAATGCCAGTGTTCTGAGCTCCCTTGTGACTGATTCCTCTTCAAAACTAAGCAGGAAGTACAGTGAGGGGGCAGCTCTTTTGTACAGGAACACTTCAGCAATAGAATGACAGCACACTCTTTTTCACCCTATAATGAGATCTTGGCTAAGATTCAAAGGCTCATTGGGCTTAATTTCCTAACTGCATCAGTCAGAACAGCTGTCTGAATTCTAGAGGAAGAGTATAAGTTTCAGCAGAGTAAAACAAAAAACAAATTAAGGTTCATAGCGGCCTGGATTTCTAGGCATACTCTTGGGGTACAGATTTTCTTTATAGAACTTCCTTCTATGAGCTAAGACTCCAGGGCCCAAACACTTGTTCCCTGAGGATGAGACTAGTGCCAGCTCCTCCAGACTCTTCAGCTGCTTCAGTTTCATAGGTGCTGTGGCTTACAGTTTTTCCATAAAGACACAGGCTTTGTAAAAGGAATTTCTATAATAGTACTCTTTTCTTTTAGACAGCACAACAGCTATACAGATCTTAGTTTAACACAGATCTTGTTTACATACATGCTCGTTCCCTGCATCAGTTTCATTTCCACTCTTGAGCATTCTTTGAGTTTTAATCAAAGTCCTTTAGGTGTCCAGGCTCCCCCTTGCCACCCCTCTGCTCCCATAGCTCATGGCTTCTCCTCCCAACTATGCAGTCTATGACTTTGCTCAGTTTGGCTGATCCTGCAGTCAGAGTCTCTTCTCCCGCCCGAAAACCTGTCTCAGTGTTCTTTTCTCCTGTCCCAAGCTCCTTTTGTCTTCCTGATCCATCCAGCCTCTCTGTTTTTATCTCTGTTCCATTTCTTGAGGAAACTGCATTCAGACCCTAGGCTTCTACAGAGAAGATTAGTGTTATACCCAGAGTTAGTGAAATGTATCACAATTCCTAAACTTTACATAGATGGTTTCCCCAAAGCACCATCATAGAAATGCTTTCCATCTTCCCTAAGCCCACATGAAATCCTAGGCACTACCAGCTGACTATGTTCTGCAGCACAGTTGTAGTCATCTTCTAAAATACTAGAAAAAGAAGACTGAACAAGTAATAACTAAAGGCAAACTCACTGCTGCCCTCTGTGATATGCCCTATCATATTAGCCTTCAGAATAAAGTACCAGTCTGTGTTTGTCATGGATTCACTCCTGGTGAAAGACTGACAATCCTGGAGATGGAAGACCTTTGTTTATCGACAGAGGCAAGCATTATTCATTAAATTTTCCACTGCATATTTTGCCCTTTTATGTGACCTAGAGGTACCACTTCTAGGACATTGTCACTTATTAGGACATACAGCACTGATGAAGTCCTTACAAAATCTGTTTTGTTTTATTCTGATTCCTTAGTCCTTAGTACTGAATGTACTAGACTGAGTACTACAATGAAAGCAGCATTGTGGAAAATCATAACATTTTCAGTAATGTAAATTATTTTGACTTGAGTATGTTTCTTTATTTCATTAAAAGCAATCTGTGGATCCCAGCCGTGTTTTAAGCGTACAAAAATGTTTTCACATTATCTAAGCTTCATCATGTGTAAAAATCTTGTGTACTTAGGGTCACTGTGGGAAACAAAGTCTAACTTAAAGCAGATGTAAAGGCTAAGGAATAAAGAACAAAGGGCTAATCTTGCTTATTAAACCAGAGGCTTTGTAAGTTTGATCTTGGTTTTCATGGTTATAGTCGCAATGTTTGGTACTTTAAAAAATCTAATTTTCTATTATATTTTTTTCTGACTTTTTTTGGCTTCTGATAGTCCCATTTTTTCTTGTTCATGGTG